CTATAATATACCCCCGGATGTTACAGGAAGCTCGCGTGTGCTCGAGTTCACATATATTATATATATACCTACTTACTCTGGCACCGCGACAAAGTCCACCTCTTATCGGTGCAATGGTATACTACGCAGCCTTCCCCGGACACTTATGTAAGTAAGCGTATTTGGTTGACGTAACGTACATGTATACATACAACATTGGACTTTTCACCCTATACGTATATAATTAAATTCTATACGTATAGGTATACCCAACCCCTTCCAAGCGAGTCTTTCGTTAACCCGGGTTGTATATATATATATACAGTCACTCCTTGTATAAACTGCACTTGCAGACCCGATGTTGGTTGGTCCATTCACCCCCGTGCGTTGTATCGCTTTTCGATATACCCTGCCTGTGCTTTTACCTCTTTCTTTTGTCGTCTGTTTTTTTGGTTTGTTTGTTGTTGTTTTTTTTTTTTTCCGATTTCGTTGGCTGTGTGCATTTGGCGTTGGTGGGAGGGGGGTGAGAAGAAAAGGACGCGCGGTAGGACAGGTGTGGGACAGCTGCCTCTGTTTCGGATATGCTCGGGCGGGTATGAATGTACACACATGTATATATATATATATATATATGTATAGCAGCTGCACAAATGTATAGCGTACGCTCGGATGGGGAAGAAGTACAGTGATTCATCGATCGATACATTTACGTATATATTGTGACTGCGACCCGTTTGGCCCCGTCACTCGGATTCAAAAAGTTCGATACCATATTTATGTGCATGGTATATATAATTTGTGAATAATAATTTTCATTGATATTTTAACGTAACTTTGTGCTCTTTATGAAAATTATCGTAGGTATAAATAATTTACATCTCGAATGTACATTTCCTTTTGTGCAACATTCACGAAGGTTTTTTTTTTTTTTTTTCTTCCTAAATTTAATTCAGGTTTTTCATTCACGTAATTGTACATGTATTATTATTTTTTTGTTTTTTTGTTTGTTGCGTTGATGCATGCAACATGTAAATAGACTCGCGTCGGTGCATGTGGTTCGAAAGGACTGGTTTTTATTTCACCCGCGAGGGCATACAAAATTACACCAAGTGCTTGGGCGCAGCTAGTGATGGGGAAAATGCGAGGTTCCCAGATTGTATACCGAGAAAAGAAAAAGGTTTCCTTCATTCACACAAAATCCAATAGATCCCGGTTAATCATGGTATAGTTGCAGACCGACCATCAGTTAACCCCTAACTGAAAGTAACGACGACGGCCGTCCATTGCGGGCCACCAGGACATCAGCAAGGGGCGGTTTAACAATTTGAGCGCATTACAATGTATACTTGCCTTGATGATGATGAATCCATTAAACCGATATTATTGTTATTTACACGCAATTATATGCATTGAGCAAAGTTTTGGAGGCCCCCCCCCCCCTACTCTACATACCGTAGTGTAACACTGTGCTCTCTCGCTTTCGATATTTTACATGAGGTGGCTTCTAAGAAGTAGGATACATGTATAAGTGCAAGGAGCCTCTTGTAAAATGCAAATCATGCCGCCAAAGTTTCTCAGAAAGCCTGTACAGCTCGCGAGTATTGGCCTGCATAATTGATACACATATCTCGTATAAGAACACACGCTCCGTTTAACTTGGAAAAATGAAAAGCGATGTTAATTTTTTTTTTTTTTCAGGCAAGTAATTCTCTCCAGTTAGCAACGCAAGCAGTTTAGTTTCGCATAGCTGTATACATATATGTGCTCGGTTATTTGCGTGGTGTACCTACTTACAAGTACCTATATGTAGGTATATAGACTTTATGTGGACGTTTTAACTGTATGTAATGTTTACTAACCCGATTTGAGGCGCTTTTCCGAGAAACTCCTCCCAACCCGACCGCCACTCAATTATTTAAGCGTATACGGTTGACGGCGGCGGGGCAGTTTGCTCATATCTCAGAAGCAGATAACGCCAAGTTACTCGTCGTCGACTGGGATTGCGCTCATCTGACCAGCAGAGCCAAAGAGCTAATTTTACCTTTTTTTTTTTTGTTTATTGGAAGAAAAAAAAAAAAGTCTTTTCTTTCGAACTGTTGGGAACAATAATAATTCATATTACCTTGACAATCAGGATCCCTTCGAAAAATTGTTTTTTACTTTTTTGTGAAGTACAATGAAAAAGATGCACAAATATATCTCCGATTAGCCTAGATATTCCTCGATTTCCTGATACTTATACACGTTACAAACGCAACGGATCCAAGAAAACTTACAATCGAGTACGCGTACGCGGAAACAACATTTCAAATTGAACGCGTATCCACTACCTGTATAGGTAATAATTTTATAGGAAAGAAAAAAAAGTAGAATTAGGGGAAACTGGAAACTCAAGCGACTATGATACACACATACGACACGGTAAAGCGCACCATATGACCTTCTTTCCTCCCACGTAGGTATACATATATATGTATAATCGCCAATTAACTACGACTCCCCCGTAAATAAGATGAACACCGGGGGGTATGAAATATTAAAATGCACGTTGTAGCGAGTACAACCTGTTTCCCGTGGCAGACAGGTACCTATATATATGTATATACACATGAAAATCCAACACTCTATATACCGAAATGCACATCAGAAGCTTCAGGGGTTGGGGTGTGTTGGAGATCTGTGGGCCACCGGGTAGGTATAGGAGCGCGTGCGCCGAACTTTTGTCGAGAGAAAGGGTTGACTCGCGCCGCCACCGTGACTATGGCTTCTACACATAATATACACATATACATGTATACGTACCGCGAGAAAAAGAGAGCGACAGAGTATGGTGGTGCTTTGGGTACGCGGGCAAAGAGCAGAATATCGGATGGAAAAGCTGCAGGGACCGAAATAAGCGTGGGATACATACACACATACAGAGAGAGAGAGAGAAAAGATCGAGGGTGGAAAGTAGACAGGTGGCCTCGGAGGAGCCACGGGGAGAGAGAAATAACGATTTCGAGTCTCCGGCGGGGAAAGCACGAGTGTGTGCCCACTGTCAGCGCGGCGCGAGGGTGCATTCGAATAAGGGAAGCGTATACGTGTATACGAAAAAGGGGAACTTAAGCCCTCGCGTGAGTATGTGTGTGTGTGTGTGTGTGTCTCCACATAGACAAAATAGATGCAGCTGCAAAGGGGGGGGGGGGGAGTAGATAGAGCGACGCCGAGGGCTGGCGAGCAGTGCGCCAGCGCCGAGAGTCAACGACACGATGCCACCCCCCTTCCCCTCAATGTGCACACTCACCGAGGGTACAGCCACCCTATACATACACCCGAACAGACACGGACGCGAGGGGGTGCCATTGGGTGCGCGCGACCACGGGGGTATCCAAACACACACACACATACGTATCTCCAGAGGGGCGAAGGTGGGGGGGGGGTGGAATAGTGTGTATGGGGGCACATAGACGAAGAGAGAGGTACATAGAGCTGAGGGAGTACAGCAGCGGTGGAAGGGTGCGCCCTACTTTGTGTGCGCGGGGAGGCACCACCACCACCACCACCACCACCGGGCGGACGGGCGCTCGGCACACCACGGTCTTTCTCTATTCCATACGCGACGGCCACAGTTCGCCGCGAGCCGTCGCCTCGCACGGAAAGCCGTGAACAGTTCTCGTCTCTACACACACACACAACAATCGGGATAGCCACCCGTTCGCCTCCTGCTGTACGACTCTCGCGTCATACGTGTACGCACACACATACGCTACCGCGCTGAAAGGAGCAGCCCCTATTACACCCTCTCTCCGATTTTCTCGCTTCCGTTTCTTTTTTGTTCTGCGAGTGCACAATATACCTACAGTGCTGTTGCAGCCACGAGAGAGAGAGAGAGAGATTAAGAGACTCTTATGGGCAAGGGTGGCAATCATCATCATCGGTCGCATCTCAAAGAAAGACCAAAATCAGTTTCTCCTATAGATGAACCACCCCTCACCCCCGATCGCCTTACTTTGGCACAGTCCTCTCGTCGAGAGCAAGTGGCGCCGAGGAGGAGGACGAGATAACGAGGGGATACAACAAAGAGAGAGAGAGAGGGAGGGAGAAAAACAGCAGCATCAGTCGGTGCCCGAATTCGCGAGCACCAAGCCGGAGGTTCCATTTTGTGGGTGACGGCGCCGTTCGCTGACCCGTATAATATACCTGGTGCCAGTATACCCCCCACTGTTACTTTTGCCACGACCAAACGTGTGCGCGTGTGTGTGTGTGTGTTGACCGATGCTCCTGTGCACGGAGAAGCTAAGCAAGTGCACGGTGCAATCGGCCCGAGGGGGTTTACGTAAGAGAGAGAGAGAGAGAGAGAGCCCATCGGCTAGCGCGCGCACGCACACCCCCCTCGGCTCTCTTTCGCCTCCCCGTGATACGTGTACCTTTTACACCCATCGCGATCCGATGGATACTAGGTTCAACGCTCTGCGTGTGTGATGCGCCCTTAACGGGTCGTATCGTCACCGGAGGCACGTCCACTCGTGGTTTGTGCACCACCTTACAACGACGGCCACGTATAGGATAACGGGGCAAGAAGGGAAGCTCAAAGAAGACCGAGCCACCGCCGCGCGCGCGCGCTTTTCTCTGTGTGTGTATGTAGGTCGCCCGCGGATCGGGAAAGAAGCGGGGGATACGCTCGCTTACGTGATGCTGGTGCCGTACGTGCTGGACACTTGGCCCGCTGATGTACTCTTCCCCAAAGTGGCGTAACTCTCGGCACGTACCTGCTGACTGCCCTCCCCCCCCCAGCCCCTCTCTCTTCAACGCCGCGAGGAATATAACGACAATCAAGAACAACGAGCGAGTGCTCCTCCCTCCGGTTGGGCAGACATGGCGCTTTGCTCCGTCTTTGGCCGCGGGATTTGGGCGTCGAGCACCCGGGGCAGCTCCATCGGGCCCCGACTTTCGTCGCGTCGATGATTGCCCCGGTCGCCATACATACGATCGAGCCTCGAGCGTCAAAGGATAGCCGCAAGGAGGAGGAAGGAGGAAAAATGCGGGTGTACGGGAGGAGTAGTGGTGCTGTGTGGTGTTGTTGGTGGTACCTGGTGTGTTTGGGTCCGCTGTTGTTGTTGTTGTTGTTGTTGGTTCAGGGCGAGGCGTCGCCAACGGTGGACAACGTGTGCGCCAACGTGTGCACGTGCAAGTGGAAGGGCGGCAAGAGGACGGTCGAGTGCAAGCCCGGGGTCCTTAACAACATACCGGACGGTATAGATCCGGAGACCCAGGTGCTCGACGTCAGCGACAACGACCTCGGCGCCCTCGTCAGCAACATCTTCGTCAAGGTGCGCCTGACGAATCTGCAGCGTCTGTACCTGCGAGGCTGTCGTATCAGCCGGATCGATCCGGCGGCCTTGGCGGGTCTGACGAACCTCGTCGAGCTCGACCTGAGCCACAATAGGTTGAGCTCGGTGCCGAGCCACAGCTTCCCCGGAGTGCCGTTTCTGCGCGAGCTCGTTCTCGGCCACAATCCCTTGGGTTACGTGCCCGACCGGGCCTTCCGGGCAACCCCCAACCTGGTGAAGCTGGACCTGTCGAGCTCCGGGCTGGCCGACTTGGCCCCCAAGAGCTTCCACGGGCTCGAGGCCCTCGAGGTACTCAAGCTCGGGCACAACCGGCTGGCCACCCTCAAGTACCCGGGGACCTTCGAGCCCCTCGGCAAACTCACGAGCCTCGAGCTCCACGAGAACCCCTGGATCTGCGACTGCCACCTGCGCGAGATGAAGTCGTACCTGATAAAGCAAAACCTGCCGAGTCCCGTGGCCCCGGTCTGCCGGGGTCCCGACCACCTGGCCAACAGGTCCTTCGCCGAGCTCGGTCTCGACGATTTCGCCTGTCCCCCGGTCATACAGATCGTCAGTCGTTACAACGAGGCGACGATCGGGGAAAACGCGAGCATCGTTTGCCAAGTGTCGGCCATACCCCCGGCGAGGATCAAGTGGATCTGGAACGGGAAATTGTACGCCAACAACAACACGGCCATCAACGGTTACCAGCGCGTCATCATAAGCGAGGAGGGCCTGTTGTTCCAGAAGCAGAGCACCCTCACGCTGACTAACGCCCAAGAGGCCGACTCGTCGGTGTTTTTCTGCGTGGCCGAGAACCAAGCGGGCAGCGTCGAGACCAACTTCACCCTCCACGTGTCGACGCGCACCGCGGGCATGGCCACCCTCGGCTCGGGCCAGATAGCCGGCATCTCGGCCGCCCTCCTCGTCCTCATACTCCTCATCCTCCTGACCATCATGATCCTGTTTGCCCGGCTGAGGAGGCTGCCCCAGCCCAAGGAGCAGCAATTGACCAAGACCCCGGCCCCACCGGGCAACCCCGACAACAACGGCTCGTCGTCGTCCCCGTCGACTACCACCGACCATCATCACCAGGGACTGGCCAACGGTGGCGAGTCAACTGCCACGGCCGGCCGGAGGAAACAGCACGCGGTTGACGACGACGAGGCCAAGACCACGAGTTTCAGCAGCCACTTGCGTTACCACTCGCCGGAGATGCCTGGCGCGGTGGCAGCCTCCGTGGCCAGTAGGTCGCCCCTCCTCACGAACCACCACCACCACCACCACCACCAGCAACACGATTACCTGCAGCAGGTGATGAACCGGAGTTACGAGCAGCAACAGTCGGGCCTGCAATTGGCCGGGCCGTGTTTCTCCTCGACCCCGCAGTCGGGCTCGCTCATGCCGATCGACAATCCGGATTTGATCCGGGACACGAGGCGGGGCTCCAGTGACGAGCCGTGCGTGCAGCCCCAGTTGCAGTACAGCGACGAGACGAGGCTCCAGCTCTACTCGGAGTGCCTCGCCGGCTGGGAGCAACAGCACCAACAAACCCTCGGTAGGCCGGCTACCAACTCTACCAATCCGTACTTGATGCAGGCCAAGGATGCGGGGCCACCGGTGATGGGCTATCACCAGCAACACGGTGGCGCGGTCGGTGGTGCGCTCCAGCCGGAGACGACGGCCTTTCCGGCGGGCGCCAAGCAGATACGCGTGTGGCAGAAGGGCGTGCCAGTGTTGCCCCCGGTGTCGGCTCTTAAGCGGGTCCTTTCGACCCGCAGCTCGCCGGACGAGGGTTACCAGGAGGGCACGGGCACGGACGTCTAGGCAACGCCGGCTTCTTCGTCGCCTCGTGGCCCAACGCGGCACTGCAGTGATGCACGATGACGAACCCAATGGCCCATCCTCGGGCTTTTTTTTTTTTTTTTTTTTTTTTTTTTGAGGGGTTTTTGGTCGCGAGTTTGGGGGGGATGCGGCGGTGCCTCTGTGACGGCCAAGTTTCGACAAAGTTTGTGCCAGCTTTCGCGGGTGTGTCTGTGCATTACGTGTTTTTTGCAACTTTACCACAAGGAAGAAGACCCCACCACCTCCAGGAAAGTATACGCAACATCGTTACAACTACGACGAAAACTCGTGCTCGTGTGTGTGGGTGTGGGTGGATAATATTATTGTAAATGTACAGACGCGTTTGGCGAGTCTCGGCACACTTGACGTCGAAGGGACGGAGAAGTATAGATTTGGACATGTGCACACCCACCCTCGTATATATAGGTATACTTATGTCTATACATAAAGTACTCTCTCTCTCTCTCTCTCTTTCTGTTTTTTTTTCAATGTTTCACCGACTGAACTTATATAAAGCCTATCAAAAAAAAAAAAAAGAGAGAGGGGGTAGAGTTGTATCGATTGAGGTACGAATTAAGGTATGTACAAAGAAATTGGCACACAGAGTTGGCAATGATGAACGTTGCTGGTACAAGTGTGCGCGTGTGAAAGAGGAAGAGAGAGAAAAAACAAAAAAAGAAAAAAAAAAAACAAAAAAAATAACAACCCAATGATTTCTAAAGTACGCAAAGACTGTTTAATGTTCCAAGGATGTATAGTATACATATATATTATATAATAGGTATAGACCTTATATGTGTGTGTGTGTGTGTGTGTGTGTGTGCGTTGGGGATGAGGATACTAACTAAATAAAAAAGAGAGTAAATATCAATGAATCATTATCAAACGATGATAATGATGATTTAATTGTGGCTGGTGAAATAAATTATTACGTGCATACCACACGAGAGCGAGTCCAAGGCCCACACGTTGGTCTAAATTGCGTGTGTACTTTTTTTTTTTATTTATTTTTTTTTTCATACGCTCATTATTCGAACGACCGTCTTTTATTTTACCAAGTATTCGTTGCCTATGTGTGTGTGTGTGTAACGGCAACCTTATACACGTACATTATACTCGGGAAGAAAAGCGTGAAAAAGTTAGCACGAATAAACCACGTATACGCCGATCGAAAATCATAATTGCTATCCTGCAAACGAACAATTAGTAAATCCAAGGTTTTCGCGGTGAGTCTATGAACACTGACCGTTTTTTTTTTTTTTTTTTTCTTCTATTGAGATGGACAGTCGCGTGCAACGATATCGAAAGGGTTTCGGGATCGAGTAGTATAGGGCCCCTTTTTATTCCTCTCAACCGTACACACAACAAGTTGTTCGTGCAACACCAATAACCAACTTCCCCCCAAAAATAAAAAATAAAAAATTCGGACTAATACACACGCAAGATGACGGTGCAAAAAGCCAAGTTTAAAAAAACCTCCATCCCTCGGTTTCTCCGGAAAAATTCAACGTGGCCCCTCGCCCCTTTTTTCGTTTGCGTGAAAACCTATATACATGTATGTGTGTGTACCCGGGTCGCGAAACATCGAGCGCGAAGATAAAGAAAAAGTGAAAAGTGACAAAAAGCGGGGGTCGCTCGATATATATACACATATACGAGTACAACACACTGTGGCGCTCGTCTCTTTTTTTTTCTCCCTCCTTTTACGGCTATAGAGCGCGTGACGTCTTTTTATCCGCGCGCCACACCGCTTACATGTACACGTACACCGCATACAGCCCGACGTTGCACTTTACGATTGATCGTTTAATGGCCAACTGTTATTGCACAAAGGGGCGCACGGGGTGGATCGGAGCTTCCGTGCCTCGGGCGCGTTAGCGTGATAAGAGGGAAAACACGCGTGAGAAGGCCTTAACATATACATACATACATACACCGTGAAATAATGCACCTCGGAGTGTATATTGTGATATGAGCACAAACGCGCTCACGCATATATATACATACATACGGAGATTGGGGATGAAAGGTGTATTGGGAAAAAAGGAGCGATCAATCTAAAGAGCATCCACCGGTGCGCGTGGAGAGGCAAAAGTAATCGAAAAGTCCACGTACGGGTATATAGACACGGAGACGAGGATTGGATTTCAAAGGGGCACGAATCGAGCCTTTACCCCCCCCCCCCCCTAGAAGTAGCAATCGCGATTTAACGATGGCGTTCGGCCCTCTTTTCTAGCCGTGGGTGTATTGGTACCTATATACGTTATATGGGTAAACCAGGGCTGAATATGCAAGCTCGAACAACAGAGAGAAAGAAAGAAAGGAAGTGTATACGAGAGGGTGCGTTTGTTCGTTCGTGCATGCAGTAACCCCCCCCCCCTCGCATCGGAGCGATCGGGAATAATCGCCATGTATGAATGCAGCCGTCTTTTTTTTTTTTTTTTTTCATTCGCCAACCTGCACTCGACGACGACTCGTTCTCTTCATTATCGCCCTTCTTCGATTCTCTTCCACGTATACATTTATGCAGTTGACGGGGGTTACCTGTAACAAAACAGACATCGGGGTCGCGCACGTTTCAGCCTCGATGGTTTGCCTCTTTTTTTTTTTTCATTGTTCTCCACTTGTCTTCTTCTTCTTCTTTCGTTCGTTGGTGTACCATTTTTTGCCATTTCCTGCATAAAGAGGGCCTCCCTCTCTCGTTTCTCTTGATTGTGCCGATTGTGCCGACAATTATCGAGTTGAATATTATCACGCGGACGCGTCACCGAGCCACTTTCTCTTTTCTTTTCACCTATGAATGGCAAAAAAAAATAAAAAGGAGGAAGCGGGGAGTTTCGTATCCCGGAAAAGGCACAACGCCGGTGGTGTATGTAGCCTATACACCTGGACCTCCGTCATTTACGGGAGGAAAGAAGGGGGGCATATACATGCCTCGACCGGACGCATGATTGTACGGCACGTACATAACGTAACGGGAGGCGTGCACGTCAAATTGTTACGCATAAAAGTAACAGCAGCTGCGCGGCAAGTATATACAGGGCCCCCCTACGTGCATGTCCAGTATCGAGGGGCGGGGGGGGGGGAAGGAGGAGAGGGTGGCCCTTGTAACATGTACTAATAAGTACAATGTACGCGCGTCTGCTCTATAAATACACAAAGGGAGGAGAAACGGGGGGGGGGAGGGAGGGGTGTCGTACCATACGATTGTAATAACGTAATATCCTTCCTTGCCTTTCAGCGCAAATATGCATGCACACGTGTTTATTTATTTATTGTCCGCTCGGGTAATTATATATACTTGCTTCGCTCGTACACACGTGGCTATACCTACCTATGAACCATATATATGTCGTGTGTGGGTAACCCTCGATCGGCCGACACCGACAAATGCCGCAGGAAGTCTTTTCACGTGTATTTCACAATCGTTGACACCTAAATACGTCCGGCTGGAAAGAAAATAAAGAAAAAAAAAAAAAAAAAGAAAAAAAAAAGATAGATAACGTATGCGTCCGTGTACGTAATATCATATAAAGACGGATAAGTAATAGATCCGAGGAGGCAAGTCACGGAGGGCGTCCGTGCGCTTTCTCAGCAACGGGATACGGAGCACAGCTACCCCCGCATACATCCCGTTATCGTAAGCCTCGGCATTGTTTATTCGAACGATTAAACGCTCGCGCGCGCGTGTGTACGTACATACTTACTTATTATATTTATGTGTGCCGAGCATAGCTATGATTTCGCAGTCGAGGCACGTGCGCTCGTTGCCTGCAGGGTTGTGTGTGGGGGCTTCTTACCACACACCCACCCTCCCTTTGATTTATTTTTCCTACCCACCACCGATTGATATTGGTTATTGGGTTATTGGCTGTTGGACCCACGGAAGAAAACTCGCTCACGACGATGACGACTCTGACTCGTGGCATTTCTTGATGTATATACGTATTAGTGTACATGTACGGGATATTGGGGTGAACATACACCCTCATCATCGGAAATAACGAGATTCCGCAGTTTTGGTGTCGGACGCGGGTCGATACATTTGTTTTCTTGCATTATGCATCGGTGGACATGAGAGCGCTTTAAAGAAAAATCGAGAGGAGGAAAAGAAATGATGAGAAAATAAAAAAAATAAATAAAACTCGTTTCTTCACCGTTAATTTTAATGTCGGTACACCTGCCACGCGTCGATTGGTCATTTTTTGCGAGGTCTTTGGGGGGAGGGTTCACGTAACACACGAAACCATATACATATATTTGTATGCAATGAAAAAAAAAAAAAAAAAATAGCTCCTCAAGCCGTTGTCGTCGCGTCGCGTGCAGCCAAGCCAAGGTACGGGTGCGAGTCCGCGAGTGCACGCGCTGCATTTAAGTAACGACACTCGGGCTTTCAAGTAGTAAGTACAAGTACACGGCGCGACTGCGGAATTTATTTTTTTTTCTTCTTCCTCCTCCCCCCCCTTCTTTCCATTCTCTATTGTTTCTCTTTCGCGCTTTGCCCGCACACACGCGGTAAGGGCCAAACTCGCGCACGCGAGGGACGTTTCAATTAAACGAAAAATCACTGTCACGCCATACATATACCTGTATTGTCCGTGCACCCTCTTACAAGTAGCAGGTATATATATATTATTATATATTACACTTTTCACGCGGATTCGTCCCCTTTATACCTTTTACCATCGTCACCGCGTGAAATTCAATTGTCTTGCAATTAGCGCCGAAACCGCAAATTATCTCCCTCGTAAACTTTTGTCAAACTCTATTGATACGTTACCGCTCGCCGATTCGACCGGGGCGTTACATCACGTTAATTCACACTGCCAACAGATCGAGCTACGGGTTACGTCTCTTGTACACTGCCGATTTTTAAAAACCGAGGAAAAACTTTTCCTTTCAAACTCCCACTGCCGTGCACAAAATATACGTATATGATATACGTGCACTCGACACTTTGAGCTCCGAGAGCGGAAAAGTTAGCAACATTCTTTCGCTCCGA